GGGGTGGGGGCGGGGGCGGGGGCGGGGGCCGGGGGCGGGGGCGGGGGCGGGGGCGGTGGTGGTGACCATGGCGCATTACACGATGATGATTACAGAGCCCAACAAAAACACGGCACTGGCAGCAGTAACCTTACCTACACGAGTACCTGCTAGAACAGAACTACTCTGGCCATCTGTCGCAAGAATAGAGGAAACTTCTTTCCATTGCTGAGGCAACTTCAGCTAAGACTGAAGAAAGCGCGAAAGGCCCAGGCAGCTAGCAGCGCCGACTCCCGCAACGTATACTCGACCTGCGCCAGCACTGCAGCAGGGGTTCAAAGACTCATCGAGTCAGCGATACAATCCAAGGCCTTTCTGACAAAGGTAAACGCTTAGGGTGCACTATCAGGCAGTTGGGAGGTCATGTAATACATGAAATTCAGGCAGGCCGGATTTCCAGTGATAAACTCGATTGGATACAGGAACGCAACAAACGGAGAACCACTCGCGGCAGGAGAAGAGGAAAGCCCACAACCCGCCTCCTCATCTGCGCTGTTCCACCACGGACGGTGCCTCCGAAGATTTCAGGTCAAACTAGAGCTACCAGAGCCGCTAGCAGCCGGTTTCGCGTCTTTCAGATTCACCGCTCCAAAGCAGAAGCCACAGGTACTAGAGTTGGGGGAAGTCTCAAGAAGCTGAGTCCCCCTGCGCAGCGCACAATTCTGTGGCGTAGTCATCCCAAGCCTGGGTCACAAAGCTTGGCAAGCGGGGTCGGCAGGCTCAGGCTGTGAAGATATCGGGGGTTGGACTTGCGCTGCAGGCTAAGTTCGTAGCTCTCCGTCGACGCAGCCCCTCGCGAGGCCTTTCGACAGGACCTGTAGAGAACTCGATCTGGAACAATTCCAAAGTTGGGGTCGATGCTTGTGCTGCAAAATACGAACCAACTGGACCTCTGACAGGGAGCCTGCTGGATGCCGAACGTCGATTGGCGTGGGGATCGCCATATCAGCATCATCAGAGGGGCTGTGGGCAAACCTGAAGCCAAAGGATTTGTTCCATCAAGTGTGTACACCATCCAAGGACTCTACTCTTCGAAAAAATGAATGTGCAAGGCTGGACACTTGTTGTACGACAACATGGCTACGATTCCGATATTAGCAGGCTGTGCGCCAAAGCAGCTGGCCAGCAAATCACAAGTTGCAAAAGTCCCACGAAGTCTGCGCAAGCTGACTTGGCACCGGACGGAACCCAGGGCTGCAACGTCGTGGGGGTCTGCACGACCAGTCGGCATGTGATAGACATTTGGGTATTACACATGGAAGCTGCTGACCATGAACGAATGCATAGTGCTTGGAACTGGCCCGTTTATGCACCCCCCAACATGTAGAATCCTTCTTCCAAATAAGTCAGAGAAAGAGCTCTATCTGAGCGCTACCAAATTGGGAAGGGACTCGGGCACTGCCCGCAGGAAGCACGCATGGAAACACCTTCAGGCTTTGGGGTCCAAGGGCCATATCATTGACTGGGAGCTCATACCGTGGATAGAGGAATCTTGCACCACCATTTCTAGCTTATAACTTATACCCCAGAAGCCCTAAGTGGTGCAAGACGTCCATTCGCCGTATTAGACTTTTCATTTCACGCGCCTGACAGCTTATCATCTAAACATCCTTCCTCTTGGCAAGACGTTCCGCCAAATTCTCTGCGCTGATTGTCAGGCTGCCTGGGTTGGCCGTTCAAACCCTGAATTGGATGGGGGGTTTATGAAGATCATTGTCGGTTTCCCACTTCACCAAACAAGCAGCTTCAAGATGATTCAACAGAAATGTGTCCAGGCACCATCTCTAAAATTGGGCCTGTGATGACCCCAGAACACCACGCCCACAGTCAGAAACGACACCAGGAAGTGCTTTTTGGCAGCGCCCCGTCAAATTGCAACCAAACTCCAATGCCATAAATCATTTAGTCTCCCAGAAGAGTCCTGACCAAAAACCCCATGCTGAAGGTCTTTATCCCGAAACAGCCTCCCATGATGCCCCCCTATCAACCCCAGCCCCCAAAGCCTATTCCCCTAAACCCTGTCTGGAGGAAGGCAGCAGCACCTGCAGCTGGCCCGAAGAGCCTGAAGACTTCCTGCTTGAGTTGTGGAGTTTTGGGCCGGTTTAGGGATTTTAGGGTTTAGGGGTTTCGGATGTTCGGGGTTTGAGAGTTGGCTCCACGTCCTTTGTGTTGTGTTGGTTTTGGGGCTTGATGGTTGCAGGGCTTTGGCTTAGGGTCGATCTACAGGTAGTCAGGAAACCACCACACGGCTTCGTCAAGATTTGAATGTATTGCTCTACAAACCTAAAGAGGATGGCAGAGCAACGATGAGGAAATCGGAACGAGGAGCGTGTAGGCATAATGTAGGCAGCTCTGGAGCTTCGGCACGTTTCTCAAGATTGAGCCTGCGTTTATCAGCGTCAGAAGTTCCTTTAAGCACCCTCAACAAACGGTCGATGTCCACCTCTCACTATCCCTCCAGCCTAGATGGTACTGAATGTAATCCCTACACCCCCAACCATCCACCTTCCACCCATAAACTGGCGTAAACCCTAAACCCTGAGTCTATGAACCCTAAGCCCCATAGACCCTGAACCCTGAACCCATAATCTTGAGGCCCGGTAGACATCAAACCCTACACCCATAAACCCTGTAAGGCCTACAGACCCTTTAACCCCTGAACCCAGAAACCCTAACCCCATAAACCCTAAACACTAGACTCATAAATACAACCCCAAGACACCACATCCCCAAAACCCCCAAACCGTTTCGCAAAGGCAGCCCCCAGCCCCGAAGACCCTGCTCCCGTAAGAGCTGTAGACAACAAGGGTTCGGGGTTTCAATCACTTTGAACTGACCTTTGGTCATCCCTACTTCAAGGTCAGAGGGATTTAGAAAGTATGCTTATAATCCCTATAAGCGACACAGTGGCCGCTGTTATCCCCATTATTGACCTTCTACAAGTCCCCCTGACCCGCAAGTAGTACCTCTCGTGAGCAGAGTCCGTGTATATGGGATTGACTCAACACATCCCATCATGTCTGGGCTGATGCGAGCGCAGTGATTTCTAATGGCAAAACGCAGGATGGTCTCCTCTTCACAGCGGCTTAACACAAGTTCCGACTTCAGTTCCGACTTCGCAAGAAATTGCAGTGGTCAGCCCAGATGCATTCCAAAAAAGATGGGCCTTATGGACAAGTCCTGCTAACAAGATGCGAACTTAGTTGGGGGATCACTTTCAGAGAGAGTACACGAGGAACCTTTCTACGCACCCACATTGGAGCCCCTCAAGCTTCTTGTAGTCACCCCTTTGTAATGCCTCGGTCTGAAATGAGCCCGGCATATTGAGAAACCTGGCATGAGCCTTACACACCTTCAGTTCTCTAAGCCTCCTCCTTAACTCCAATGCTCCTGTCCCCTAACTAGAAGCTCGGGAGGCATCAAAATGTCTTCCCAAATACCTTAAGGTCCCAGTTCCTCGTCAGCACCTTCTCGTCCGCGCCTGGTGTTGCTCAGGCAGCGGGCTTGGAGACTCTTGGTTGGGAGCTGGGGGGGAAGGGGAGTTCCCGTCTAGGACCCTGTAGACCCTAGACCCCATGAGGCACAACTCCCAAACCCTTAACTCATAGAAGTGCTTTGATTTGTCCAATCGTTCATTCCCTGCTAGCAACCAGCAAGTTGACCCAAAACCCAATGAATCCCTGCGTACATTTCCAGCTCCAATTTCATCTCCCATTCTCTTTTCCATCTGATTCTCCACTATGGGGGATACTATCCCCACGCAATCCCTATATAACCCATATACTCCTGTACATGCCTGGTTATCCTGGTACATCCCCATATACCCCATATCCCCAAATCTGCAAGCTCACGGGATGATTCGTGGAAGGTGCTTGTGGGCTAGGATTGTTCAGGGCTAAGGGATCAAGGTTCAGGGCTTACGGGTTTTTGATTGGGGCCTAGGCTTCAGAGATTGGGATTTGGGATCCACATTCATCCCTATCAAGGGAGGGACTAGACATCACTGAACTGATATTTCAACCCCTTTCACGTTTTAAGAAATGCAGCCCATCCAACTTCCGAGGCCATCACGGCGCGCGCGCGGTGGCATGCCCACGCTCGCAGTGACCTTCCAGCCCGCCCACTTCCCGAAAGGGATGCCTTTGCGGAAGAAAAGTCAACCCTGCGCATTGTGTCGCTAGTTACAAGATGTCTGAGATCTGATACGGTATCAATAAATGCAGGGAAAGCAGGGAAAGCACTAGTACAGGACTGCCTCATGCAACAAGCTGAACTTGGAAGGATAGCTGAACTTGGGGATTGGCGACACACCTGTCATTTGGCCAATCTTGAATATCCCGTGAGAGACCAAAACTCCCTTTTCCATTCCATACCCTCAGGTTCCTTTGCATAGCACTTGACCTATCCCCACTACTCACTACTCTTACCAATCAATGGTCAAACCTCCACGTCGATGACCTCGTCGTCTGATGGATTTGACCTGCACGAATGATCTCATCATCAGGCTTCCATTCCAGTGTCAGTGGTTTTCATGGTCTGTATCTTTATAGGAACAAAAGTTTCACACTCGGAGTCTTGCGTACTTGCCGCTAGATCGTTGTCTCGCTCGTTGCTACGGCAGACACTACAGTCCTCTATGCTCACCAGAGTTCCCATTACTTTGCTGTCGTTCTCTCCCTGCCTAGGCTTCCTGTGATGGCTCTTCTAACAACAATTCGCGACAAGTGTTGAATTCCACTGTCACTGGTAGTATACGTCTGCTCATACGCTGCTTCGAAATCTTCTCTCGCCATTATCACACCATAGTAAAATCAGTGTTGCTGCTATCTCACTACTGTTCAAGTGCTCCATTAGTCTGATATTCCTTTTTATTCCATCCTCAGCACAATTCGGTTGCAAGCCGCTGTTCATCAATTTAACTTTAGAAGACTGCGGGGATCTCATAAAAGTGGCTCCCTTCGGTATCTGGCGTCCTGTCAAGAGCCTGAGGGTCTGGGGCACCGTCAAGAGGACTACCATCTCTAGGCCAAGTCAGTTAACAAGACAGTACTGAAGTATGTGAGCCGCACCACACCTGACTGTTGCAAAACGCCTGGGTCCCTTGGCCATTTCTGGTTGGTAATTAGAGCCTGTCAATTTGAGACCCCCGCAATAGTCAACGCCCATGTCACAGCCTATACCAGTACCGTTGGCAGATCCCTTATAAGTCAAGCAAACTGTATACTTATACAGGCCCGTTAAGCCTTACTGCCCGGCTTGAGGCCTGTAGATGCAGCGCGAGATGTCTTGCATCACCTGGAATCAAAGTTTGCAGTTTTGCCTTATGTAGGGTTTCACTATGGCGTTCGGGGTTCAGGGTTGGAAGGCATCAGTCTTCAGGCGAACTGCGTATAGGAAGAGCTCCGAATTTCCTCGCGCATGGCGGACTCCACGCGATACGGGAGAGTTGGACACATGTGCAGGCACATGCAGCAACTGCGACAAGTGCAATGTTGTTGCAAGCCAGCTTGAGCACACAGCTGAATCTTGTAATCCTCATGGAGTTTCAGTAAGCTACAACAACACTTCAATAATGACCCAGTTGTAGTAATGGTGTAGCAATCAACTCGGAAAGTCCTACGGCCATACATGCCGGGTGAGGCTGCTCGGAGTACCTATGCTCCAGATCTTCAGACACAGACCCCCATAAAGTCCCATGAGTACAGCCCCATTGTTGGATGGGGTGAATAGCATTATAAGGCGGCTGTGGGGATTCAGTATTCGGCGGTAAGTTGTCTTGGGCTTGTGTGAGATGCGAAATGTTTTGCCCCACTGAACGGCTTCACAACGTTGATTCCAAGCATGGAGAACTGTTTGAGAACGTTGAGAACTGTCATGTGGAAGCTAGAACAATCTCCACCCGTACTTCCTGATAGCCCCTGCATAAATTGACACTCGTTCCCCTTCGCAAGCCTTGGCTTCAACTTTTCACAGACCATAGTCCCGTTCAAGTAGGGGGGACCGGGAAAGTGAGTTCTCAGGGCAGCTCATGTACAAGAGGCACCTGACACGCTTAAGGTCAGCATGTAGGGTTCAGGGTGTTGCGTGATATGGGAGTTTCTGAGACTCAGTACTCTGTACCCAGATCAATCCCAAGCCGAAACAGAGGGCTTCCCCCCATTTGGAAACTTCCGCATCCACTCTTCCAGTCATGTGCTGCACTTGGCTTGGCCTCCTCAATGAGCATGTCCAAGATGTCAGATATCCTGCTGCACAACTGTTAAGCACTTCAAGGTACAAGCTTGGGGTTCAGGGTTTTGGTCTGGCCTCAGTGGATCTGGGCGCGTTTGATTGGGTTTTGGGACGGTGAGAGCTCACAAGCAAGATCAGCTGCAAAAGCTCCGGGCTTAGTGACCCTGACCTGGGCTCCCTGAGGCCCTGAGGCAGCTACAATCAAAAGGCGTTGATACAAATCCTCGGAAGGTCCACACATGAGCCATTGTCTAAACTCCTAGTATCTCCCGTAATAAGCCCTGTAGTAGTCCCCTATGCAATCCCCGATGCGACCCCCTTTTCAGGAGTTTAGACTATAGCTTACATGTCTGGGTTTGAAACACCAGCCTCTGAGAGGTCCCAGAGCCTCTCAAGCTTAAGGGCCCCTTAAGTAGATAGAATATGATAGAATATGGCTGTGGGCATATTGTAATAAGATCCCCATATACCCCATATTCTATCTACTCAGGGGGGCCTAAAAGGGCTCCCAACCCTTATGAGGGCAGTGACTGCTGCAGGGCAATTCAGTTCCTATTTCTGGGCTGGGATTGCCAAACAGACCGTATTGGAATGTAAAACCAACAACGAAAACCTCGGCTCCTGGCATATGTTTTGAGCAAATATGCTAGCTATTGCCACCCCAAAGTGACAGATCTATGCAAGGGGCCTGCAAGGAACGAGGCTATCACTGCCGATTTTTTCAAGTCTGTCAGCAACTCGCAGGCAGTGCAAAACACAAACCTTGCATTGTTGGAATGTTGTTGGGACCTGAACCGGTCACTGGTGCCAAAGACCTCTGCTGAGAGTTGCTGGGGAACAGATTGAATCCATCAACCCTGATTGATCCCTGAAGCCTCAACCCTGAATCTTCTGTTGGGCCTGTTGTGCCCACGCAACAGCGCCTGCCAGGAGAATTTGGTCACCTGCAAACGGATTATACGGCGTTGAGGGTGGGCTTTGGAGATGGGGGTTCCTGTTGCAGGGGTTTAGGGATAAGGGACTTCGGTTTAGGGATCAACCTGTAACTGATCGTACATACCCATTAATGTTCCTGGACTGGTTGGTGGTATCGCGAGTATCCTTGCACCAACTTCGGCTGAAACCACTCCAGATCACCACGGCAAAGGAAGAAGGGCCCAAATGGTGACCTACACCAAGTGCCGATAAAAATAGAGTCGATGGCCCCTCACAAGATCCACACCTGCCGAGGACTGATAGAAAGCACTTGTCCACTTGCAGACGAAAGCCAGCTCAGATTCGTCCAACTCCAGCCTGCTTAACCCTCGACCCAAAATCCTAAGCCAGCCTGGTGCGAGAATGGCGGATCCACCTTGGAAGAAGTTGAGCGGGGGGTGGGTAGGCATGTAGAAATGTCTTACAGTTCGACGTGTCTACATCCAAATAGTAGAGTGCTTGCTATGGGTAACCCACAACAGGGAGTCACATTGTTGCGGAGCACCCTCGCAACGCTGCGCCCCCCGCCAAGGGATCTCTACAACAAGGACTACATGCTGTTAGTAGACAGTAGGCGAACTTACTTTAGAGAAAGTCCCACATTTTGCTCACTACAAGGAACTTCAGGTCACTGCAAACATGCGCACGAGCGGTTTCCCAACTAAGTCGCGCTAGGAAATGTTGCAAGGGCAATGCTCATCATGCTTCAAAAGTCGGAAGCACAAATGCAATGTCAAATGTCAGCAGTCAACCAACAGTCGCAAACGCACTCTGTTTGCATCCAGCAGGCGAAGGGCTTACATAGCCCACGTATCTTGGGTATACCTATCAAGGCCACCTCGTTAGGAAGTTACCATTTCGCAGATGTCTCACGGAAAGCTCCGCAGGGTGAAGGGTGACATGGACCAGTCAGATGACAGCAATCAACTAGCTGCCAGGCCTTTGTCATCTTTTGGGGCTCAAACGGTTTCCGGTTAAGTGCTGAGGGTTGCAGGCAAGTGGCCCTATCATCACCAATCGAAAACGCTTCAAACGTTGGTGAAACGGTGCAATCCAGAAATGGCCTGAAGATGTCATCAGAATTAAGCTATGAAAGCCGCTCTCTCAACACAACAATGACCATTTCCAACACAGCAGCGGTAGCAGTGGAAAATGCTTATGAAGTTGGTCTGATGACCGACAGTGAGAGCTTCAGAAGGCCACTTCGACGTAGCCGTCGCCATCCTCGTCGTGCCTTGGCACCTCTGCGGAAAGTTCACGCTGCTTGAGCCACTCCAAACCACCGCTGTCGTTATAGATTGGCAGCTCCAAGGAGTCCTCAGGCGTCTCCAGCAAGGCTCGAGCCAAGAAAGGCGGCACCCTGTGCCCTCGAGTGAAGTCTGCTGCTTTCCACCCTCGCGAGTTGCGAAGATCAAGCTGCGCTCCGGCCGAAATGAGCACCGCAGCACCTTCGTAATGCGACGACAGCAGTGCAAACATCAGAGGCGTTGCGCCTTCCGCATGGTATACTTGCAACGCAAATTGAGAGCTTTTGCCCAGGTGGTACTGCACCTGTGACAACTTGCACAGGAATCGCACCAGAGCATTGCGCTTGCACCAGTCAAAAGTTTGATCGTTCACATTCGCTCGCATGTCCAGGAGTTCCTGTGCTACCTCTGCAGATCCATTGTGCAGCATAGCCATGTGCAGGCTGTGTCCTAGATCTATCGTGTCCCCTGCTCTGGTGGCCAGCTCTTTTAGCGAAGGCACTGAGCCATACATTGCAGCAGCTTCCACTGCAGTCACTTCGAACATGTTCCGCTCATAGATGCTACACCCAGCGGCAAGAAGAAGGGCGATTCCTTCGGGATCCCCAGCACAGGTTGCACCGTGCAAGGGTGGCAGCATGGAATGATCGATGGTTCTGGCTCCTGCCTTGATTAGGAAGTTGGCTGCCTCGTGGTGCTTAAATAGGGTACAGATGGTCAATGGCGAGCTCCATCTTGGCAGCAAAATTCGAGTAGAATCCTTTTTTGTCAAGCCGTTTGGATCTGCTCGTCTCTGCAGCAAACCGTGAATCAGCATGGGATCCCCTCTCAATGCTGCATAATGCAGAGGTAACCAGCCACTGGAAGTGGACTCCTCAACTCGGGTGAAGCCGTTCTGATGGAAAAAGTCTGCAACGGCATAAGGCACCGAATCCTGCTCTGACCCGTCTATGTCGAGGCCAGGGATCACGTGCACGAGTTCCTCCATCGGCAACCCCCTGAGTATCACAGCCTGCTGGTTAAGCAGCAAACGGTAGCCTGTCAGATCACGGCACTTCAGCTGCAACAGCAGCTTCCGCTTCACTGCCCGCAAGAGAACCGGTGCAAGTCTCTCTCGATCTTGATCCACGCTGAAAGAGCCTTCACCAACTGAGCCCAGCTCGTGTCCTGTGACAACCAGCTTCAGTTCAATGTTCAAAGGACTCTTTATCAAGATCCAGGAGCTGCTTTCGGAGAGTTCTCGGCAAGCTTTCTCCATGCGACACCACCCGCGTTGAAGCCACGATGCAAAAGACAACATCTCCGAGCCAGTTAGATTTTGAAGTGTTGGGCAAAGCGCGAAAAAGAACGCGCTCTGCTCCACGTATGCAGGGATGCTGCTGATGGCATCCAGCAGCCTATTGCCTGGTCCACTTGCTTCAAGCTGGGGGCAGGAGAAGAAATCATACCATATAAAGAGTGGCTGCGTGCGAAGATCTTTCACGTTCAAAGGCTTGGCTCCAGGCGCTGCTGTTTCTGCTCTGCTATCCAGAGGAATGTACTGCATTTTGTTCAGGATCTGGTGCATGGCTTCTTGAAGAACCCTCATCTGCCTGAAATCTGGATCTGGATGCTTGACAGAAACCCATTGGTGCGAGACGAATGCTGCTTTGCCCATGCTGTGCTGGAACTCGACCAGCTCATCTCGTTCTTTTAGAACTTCGTGAGGCTCCATTGTGGTCATTTTAAGCACGGCATGGAGGGGCACAGTGAACATAGGGAACAGCCGGGGGCTGGCTGCGACGTAGGGTGCATCTGGCCGCTGACTTCGCAGGGACCTGACAAAGTGCTCCATAGGAGTGCTACGAAAGCAGCACGCCATGGCTGGTGGAGAAGGGCTTTCCCAGCCGTTGGCTAGACGCCTCAAGGCATCATGTAACGTATGAGTCAGTTTGAGACCCTCGCATTAGGCAGCTGTGAGGTGGATCCAGTGATCAATGACGCCGAGTGCGGACATAGAATTGCATTACATGTTGACAATTTTCGGTGCCCTACTGCAATCGGGTGGAGCCAAGAGCCGATGCGCGCTTCCACTCCTGGCCCTTCATGTGGGGCCAACACTGGTACAGTTCTGCAAGACACTCAGACTGCACAAGTCGAGTGCAACTGGGCGTGCATTAAGCGACAGACCTGACCAACACAAAAAGTACGGACGGCCAAGCTTCCCACCCTCAATCGAAGTTGTCGGACCAGGTCTGTCCTGTGCCAGACAAAGGCACGGAGCAGTTTGTTCTTTCAATGGGAAGCCGATCAGAAGTCAAGACAGCACAACACAAAATGGCATCCCAAACCATGGCAGTCCAACCAAACGCCCTCAAGGTAACAACAAATATGTGTCTACATACTACTGGGCGCTAGCATGATGACCAGGTCTGCTGCAGCCACAATCACTACTGAGGCCATTGTGACTATGATTCATACTACCAGCTTGTACCTAGCTGTCAGAATAGTAGTAGACCTAAATAAGCCAGATGATGGAGAATCAAATGGAAGGACAGCATGGGAACATAATGGAAACTAGGCCTCCACTTATAGAAGGCTTATGAGCAGGCCGTTTCTGGGGCACATGCATATGCCATTGGGCCATTAGATGCCATTAGTTTACAGGTCTACCTATGGATTGTATGCTTTAATCTAATTTTTGGCCAGCTGGCAATACTGTTCTTTACTTTTCGGATGAGTACTCTTGTGATGACGATGACTCTGATTGCTGCCGCATGCCATTCCGCAGCTATGACGTTCACGCGTATTCATGGCTCAAAGCCGCAGATTCCTCTCACTGACAGTGCATGCCCAAGGTTTCTGTTGACCCGATGCAGGCAAGGTACGGACAGCGCCCGACGAGATAAAAATTCTCGAAAGCCTGGCAGAGCGGAGTTCCGCGTGACCCAATCAAATAAACTCTTCCTTCCGAGTTGCACGAAGTCCTAAGTTCTCAACCCTTTTCCTTTGGGGGTTTCCAACCATTAGGGTGCCCATGTCTGTATGCTTGGGCCGCCTATCTGTGGAAACTAACATGTATCTCCTACTGCTGGACCTTTTGTCTGGCTTGGGGAAGGAGTGAAAGTCCGGGCTGAGCCATGATGCGAGGGAGTATTTGACGGTAGCAAAACGAGAAGTCATACTTGTATAGCGTTATAGCTGATTATGTAGAGGTGATACAGGGCTCATATGGGGTTTTGCCAGCATCGTCCTGTCCTTCCTCCACCTTCACTCTTCTGCGCATCCTTCTCCTCTTTTTTCATTGCCGTGGCAAGGTAGGAACTGGAAATTGGGTCTGGACAAAGTAACGTTGTCTATCTCAATCGGAATGCGACGAGTACCGACCATACAGCGGATTCTGTGTGGCTAAACGGGACAGAATACGCTGATGCTCCAGGTCAAGAAGGATTGGAAACCGACGATGATGATGATGATGATGATGATGCATTCGATCCTGCACGAGCCCGTGCACCTGAACCCTAGGAGTAATGATACCATAGGATATGTAGAATCATGCAAAGCGTTGGCCATGAACAACGATGGTGGAAGAAGCAAGCCATGCTGCCAGAGCGTTTTGGTGAGCCCCGGCCTCTACCAGGTCTGGCCAGGCAATCTTGTAAAGGTGGATAAAGTTGCTGTCCCAGAATTTGGCGCCCAACTTTCCCTGGCACATGGGCTTCAAGGTGGCTATCTCTGGACATGATCCACACTATCGCCAAAATGTGCCAACATACTGATCTTCCACGGGAGGCGATCCACAAAATTTGAGACAACATCCCTAACATCCGAACATGTGGTTTGCTCCGAATATGGAGGGGCCATATCAGAATTGGAAACTCATATCTAAGAAAGAACAGGGCCGTACAAGGAGCGGCGCACTTAACCACAATCAGAAGAAGGGGCCCTTAGAACCTTCTAGTCAAAGGAAGGCTCTACCTTGCCTTTACCTAACTTGAGTTTCCATTTTCTTTTCCATTCTCCCAATATATACCCAACATAACCCCAATGTTGGACCGGAATCTCAGGAAATTGTGGACCACAGTCCCTTCAAACCAAAGCGTACATTGGGTTCGAGGCGAGTTTTTGGGACACGAAGCTGCCACGAACACGGATTCGATTCCAGGCAAGGAGGGGAAGTTGCACAAGGAAATAGCACCCTGATCGTTAAGAAGCATGAGTTCCTGCTGCAAGTCCTGATGACAGGAGCCTTTTTGGTAGTCACATAAGGGCTTGATTTTTGGCAGAATACCTAAACCCACAACCGTAAACGCGTCGGTAAACCCTGAGCCCTCTAAATCCTGGGCTCTAAAGACCCTCTACCGTGAACCCCAAACTCTGAACCCCGTGGCCAAGCAGACGATCCCCGAGATCCCTGCGGTCTCTGGTGGTCGAGGGATCTCCTGCAAGTGGCTACACGAGTGAAAGTTTTAGGCTTATAGGCTGTTTCAGGAATTAGGGGTTTGAGTTTGCGGCGGGTTTGATCGATGGATGGAAGTTTGCTGGAGATAAATCCAATTGGTCAATTGGGGTCCTGACACAGCCCAAGCCATTCGAAACAGATAGGGCGCGTCCCTGCCTCAGGGAACAAGCCTGCTCTGGATATGTACTTTCAACAACAGGCCCTTCTTATGTAAACCTGATGGCCATCCTCTCGTCTCCATGGACTTTCTGCCGGCTTTACTTCAAATTCTACAAGTCGTTTAAGAGAGGGTATAAGTTGTTTCGCAAGATGGTCCATCTAGTAAGGATCTTCCTAGCGGACTGTGACCCCTCCACGGGCTGGACGCCGCAGTAGGTCGCAAATTAAATATACATATATATATATATATGCATATACATATACATATACATATATGGTGGCCCTGTATAGCCCCCATAAGTGACGGGTGTCATAGGGATCTTTAACCTCAGAAGCCCACACATGGAGACCTTCCAAGTCCCTGGAACCTGCCACGTCTGCTTCCATGAGCGCAGCGCGTCAGCATGGAGTCTGAGGCAAGAGGTTTAGGGTTTCAATCTTCAAAAAATGGACAGGAACATGAGAACAGGGGCGCTTTCAATTTACACCTACACTTCAACTTGTACATTTCAAGGGCTAGGTTTGCTTCGCTCCTCCGAGTTGGGTGGTCATGATAAGGTATGCAACACAAATACGGAAGGGAGAATGATACGTAAATCGAAACTCTGGGGCAGTGCAGTCTGAAGGCTTGATATGTATGGCTGTTGAGGCTGCTGGATGTGGCTTCGGGTAATTTGGCTCAAGAATTACAACTTGGGCATGGGGTCCAGATCGACCGTTTGTTTTGGGCAAATGTTCTACATGTCAGTGCAGTCAAGCAAAGAGTTTCTCAGCCAGACCTCAATACCATTATTATGAACTCTCAATCCATGACCGGGGGAGAGCCACATGCAACCAGCATTTAATACATGCACCATGACAACTTAGATAAACTGCATGCTGCATACCACGGGCATCCTGAAATTGCGCGGCCTTGTTCGAAGCTTCCTCAACAATCGGTCATTGTACCCTTCGAAAACATACTAGGTGTCTCTGGGTTTGAACTGCCCTCATATACCTAACGCATGAACCAGACTGGAAAATGCCAGGCATTTGAAAAACTTGGGCCCCTTTGTGTACCCAGTATTGACAAATGTTCTTTTCAGGGCCCTGCATGACAACTAGTTGGGCATAGGCTCAGTTGACACGGGAAGCCTTGTTAGGAAATGTCCTTTAAAAAATGTGTACACATTTGTATAACCCTAAATAACCAATGATTGTGGAAGACTAGCCAGCTCCGCAGATTACGGGTCTTCTAGGGGAAGACTGGCCTCTCCAGCAGGCGCGATTTCTGCCGCTTCGCGAAAACCTCTGACATTTGCTGTTCTGCGTGGCTTCTGGGATTCTGATCTTGGGCTAAGGGCTTACTAACGCTTGGGGTTCCGTAGACCCTACGCCCTGGGTACTCCAAAATATGGAGCAGCTCCTTACAGTAGTACAGCGTGCTTAGGGGCTGTATGAGACTAATGGACTATTTCAGACAACGAGCCTTTCCAAACAAACATGGAAATCAGAAGGGTCCCTACAAAGACTGCTGCACTTTGCAACGTCTGTGACGGGAGGACATCTTTGGAGACTCCTACCCTAAACCCTAAACCCTAAACCCTATCATGGCTGCGAGCTCAGGATGTACTAGCAGGCTACAACTTCTCGGGAGCCCCCGGGTGTTGAAAAGACCAAAACATGACAGCCAGCGTTCACAATGAGATGCGGCTAACCTGGGTTGCTGTTAAGGAACTTAATTTAAGTTACTGTATTGGGGAAACCCTATTATTTACTATATATACCCATTATGGTAACTTAACTTAAGTTCCTTAACAGCAACCCAGTAACATGGCTGATGCTTTGAAGAAAAAGCTTGGCATTTTATATCAGATGCTGTGAAAAAGGATAGCATTTTAAAGCAATAAGCCTTCCTCAAGCAACATGTAGGAACAACTATCAAAGCACTCTTCGAGGAGGGCAGAAACCCTGTTTCTTGGCCCGATGGCCATCAAGCATGGTGAAGAACTTCCATGGTGAGCCTTCTGAGACGGGGATGCGATACCCAGACCGTATTCCCGGATGAAATTGAGGAGAAAATTTGCTCCCTCGGTTGTAAGGAGCTGGTGCTGAAAAAGGCTTGCGAATCATAGTCAGGCCGTTGTCAATCCTAATTAGTCTTATTAGTTGTGCCTCAATCAAAGTCCACCTCTCCACTTGTCAAATGTGTCGGCCTCGCGTGAATGAGGCCAGTCTCAACTCGATGGGCACCAGGCGGCCAATAAGTAGCGCGGTTAGTAAGAGTATTGCCGAGGTGTGTGTGCGTGTGTGTGTCTGGGACTTATTGGGCGACGTGTCTTCCTACCCTGCAAGGAACTCTGTGGTGACTACTGCAGCCACTTCTCATAAAGGCTAACACAAAGACATTAGACTTCAGCAATCACTGCAGCATTTTGGTCTCTTATTCCTTGCAAGCTTCCCTGAGCAGTCGCAAAGACTTTACCAACTGCCAAGCCTCTACGTGCGAAACCTTCAACCAAAACCTCAAACCCTCTAGGCTGAGCCCTAAGCCCTAAAGCTTGAACCCCCCAAAACCCTAAACCATGAGCTGGCACTTGACTCTGGAGATCTGGCCTTTAATGCTGCCTCTGCCCAGGGCCTCCGTACAGCAGCTTGTTTTTCTTCAAGTTTAGGGAATTAGGGGTTTGAGGTTCGGGGGCTTCGGGACTTGGGGGGTCAAGGTTCGAGAGTTGAAGGTTGCACCATGTAGGGGTAAAGGGAATCAGGGCTTTCGAGGTCACAAGGTCGGTTGTTGCTAAGTGGAACCTGGGTTTCAGGTGCATTCTGCAAGTTTGCAGAAATTAGGGCTCAATCTCTGCGCGTTATCCAAAAAAAGAGGTTGTCCCGGAAGTACGGGCTCCTGATGAAAGCATACAAAACAATGAACCCATCTGAGACCACAAGCCCCAAGCATAATGAAGGGGCCTAATTATTTTGTCAAGACTGGGCAGGCCGCCCAATCAAGCCCACCCAGCAACAAAAAAATCTTGAGAGCTTGAATGATCAAATTAGTAGGAGCATCCTTCTAGGGGTCCCTCGATCTAATCATTAACAAGGCTAATCTGATTTTGGGGTCTTTTGGGGTACCCCCCTTATTTTGGAACTTGCCTATACAGGGGCACACAGGGTAGGCTCCGCCTGGTCTTTTCGAGGCATGTCAGGAGCGACCTTGGCGCGCAAGTTTCTATGGCCAAGGGTTCGCGGTGCGGGATGTACTAGTTATAAGGGTTTAGGATTAGAGGTGTTTTTTTCAGGGTTCAATGTGTAGAGCTTGAAGTGTTGAGTGTAGGGTTTAGGATGTATGTTTTTTCGAGGTTGGGGATTGCAAATGCTTCACCATGCTAGCCATCCGTCAAGAAGTAGATAGAATCCAAAATCCTCTACTGTATTCCCGCCATGTACAATCAAACTGCATTCTGAAACTACCAGCCTATCCATGCACATAACCCCCCTAAATAACCCCGGATTCCGCTTAGTGTTCCATCTTCTTTTCCATTGGGTTCGCCATTGTGTTGGTAGTAATCCTATAGTCAGCTGCAAATTACTCAGGATGCAGTGCTCAATCCTTTTCCCAAGTGTCGAAGCAAGCAGCAGGCACCCTCGGATTGTTAGCTAGCACATGAGGCCGAGCTCATAACAGTAGTCTGCTTGGCATATTAATGTAACATCATGGCAACACTTCCCCTCCAGTCGCAAAACGAACATGTTCGCGTGGAGCCATTCTGGCGCCCCCCTTTTGGCTCCAAGCTCAACTGAAAGACGACTCAGTTTCTCCAATAGATCATGATGAAATTGGGATAACTCCCTTCTTGACGTGTGGGCTTTTGCATATAGGTTATGCTGTGATATGGATGACAAGCTCAGGGTCTAGGCCTAGGGATCCAGTGTCAACGTATGGTCTGCTTAAGATTGCTAATGTCGTGGTGTGGTCTGCTGAGTCTGCTGAGAGGTTGGGGTGCCGAGGTGTGGTTTGTTCGAGGTTTCAGGGTGTCACACTGTGGGGCATCTCCAGATTTTGATTTTTTGTTTGGTGGGGTGGGAGGGGTGGGTCACAGTTTGATCTACTCAAGGCTTTTTGCAGTGTCATGCATAGTGGAGTCTGCTTGATGCCTGGGGTGTCGGTGTCGGGGTGCAGTCCGCTCTAGTTATTTAGATGTCATGGTATGGTTCGCTGAAGGTTTGTCAGACCATGCGAAGTCCACATTTTGGGGGTGTTCACGATGTGGTCGCAAAGCTTTCCTAGTGGCGCGGCGTGGCTCATGCAAGTTGTTTTGCGTCGTGGTCTTGTTTGCTCACTTTCTATTGTCTCACTGTGCGAATCACTCAAGGCCTTGGAATGTCACATTTTGGTCCGCTCAACAGAGGGGATGTCAGCCACGGAGCAGTCTGCTCAAGGTTCTGAGGCCTGCAGAGTATGGTTCCCCAAGCAGTCCACGCTTCAGCGCTGCGAGCGCAACACGAGTTAAACTCTTCCTGGGTACTTCTTGCAGCTATTCTTCAAGGGAACAGACTCACCAAAAGCACAAGGATCCTTGCCATCACAAGTCTTACTAGACGCTTGTGGAAATTCCACAACAACAGGAATGTATCTGCGTTCCCACAGGCACAGCGCAAGCTTCTCAGCCCTATGTAGGCCCCTAAGAGAGGTTCGAACCTTGCTCTTCTTCATTTAGCATCCTCATCTCTTTTTGAGGAAACTCACTGCTCATACGGTTGGTGGAGGATTTCGTGCACAATGTGGCTTTCCCAAGTTGACAACAGTTGAAAATTGCTGTCACGTCTCCTGACCGTGGGGCTGAGGTTGCTGCCCACGAGACAGTTGCAGTTGGCCGCCAATTACTCGGAAGGTCTGATCCAGCAGGGCTCGGTCTCCCTGGCAGCAGTCTGGAGCCTAGCTCTACAGTTTAGGGCATAGGGTTTAAGCCCAGTCCCATTTTGGGGGTCCCAACATGAGGGGTACATTTTTGGGCGTCCCTGTAATATGGATCATAATATTTTGGAGTCTAGGTTGTGGTTCCCCTGTTTTTGGGAAACCACCATCTAGGGGCCTGCAGAGGAGGATATATGGGCGTTGTCCAAGATTACCTCATGACAGACTGAACTCCTTGCAAAAACCCAAAGTTCTTTTCGCGAACACCATCACGAGCTTCAAGCAGAAACCATGCCCTGAACTCTCAAAAGATCCCTGGACCCATGCCCTCAACTCCAAAACCGAGCCTGTAAGAGCACTGAGCATACTGGGAAGGTGAAGTAGGGTTAGAACTTACCCAAGCCCTTAACTCCAGAATCGAATCGCAGAAGCTATGTCGCATGGTTTTCAAGGCTGGGGGCTTGCTCGGCGTGCGCGACCTTTCTCGGATCTATTGCGGATCCTTGGCAGATTTTTCGCGGACTTTCCTGTAAGAATTCCGAGGCTGAGCCTGTGCCTTAGGAAGACTTGCAACCCTTTCACCTTTGAGCATGCCTGGAAGCATGCCTGCGGACTACAGAAAGGGAAATGCATTTAAAAGCGAGCAAGAAACTATGGCTTACGACACTTCTTTCGCGAAATCCAAACTTCCCTTCGCGAACAGCATCGCGACCTTTCGCAGAAGGCCTTCTAAGCCAGCCATGGTCGTTTTATATGAAACGTCCCCAAGGAGTTTTCGGACGATGCCCATACGATAGTTGTGAGGAAGATTGAGACTTCCATGTAGGGTTTTCAGGAGGGTAAGAGTGTTTGTGTTTTTGTTGTCTGGTCTTTTTTGTTGTTTGGGCTTTTCAGGTGTTACACTTTTTGCTGTTTGGGCAGGTGCGTGTTTCATTTTTGCAGGGGCGCGGGCCCCGCCCAAAAAGCAA